TAAAAAAGCTGCGGAAATGTAGCTTCATAGCTTTTTTCGCAGGCAGTAACATTTGAGAGGTGGGACATTCAACAATCAAAAGCAGCGTCTATTTTTTGCCAGTAGCTTTCATAACCGCAATGCTATGCAATGCACTGAATCAAGGCGACTGCATGATACTCCCAGAACATTTCGTTCAAGAGCTTCAAGAGCGTTTCTCTGAAAACTTCATTTTCTAGCTCATGTTACCGATCTAAATTGTTAGGATTTTCCTCTGAACTGAGTAAAATATGAATAGGTTACAGCTTTCATTGCCTAGCACCCAAGGTAAGCGCGTGGCTAACTTAACTGGATGATGGAACACTTGCACTACTCTCAACCAACATAATCTACTAGGCCTATCGGCTTGCAAATAGCGCAATCCCGCATTCGCTAAGTTTGTCTGTTGGTGTATGCGTGTGTTTGTAGTGAGCGTGTCTTTGTGTGTGTTTGACCGAAAATTCATAGCTTCCTTCTAATCAGTCATAGAGAGTTCAAATTGACAGGTGAGGTATATCCGAAATCCCTGAAATCGGGTAGGCGTGGCTGCATGCTTCAAGCTTGACCTGAAGGAGTTTATGCTTCTGGTGAGATATTTTCATCTTGACACATTGTTGTTGTGTCTCATATTCCACGAGTAACCAGTTCCGTGCCATGCTCCAATGCTTCGCCTACTCTGGCTCAGGGATAATGAGTGTAGGTGGCCAGGCAGGAACACTACTGGTAGGTAACAGGAAGTGATAACAGCTAACAAGGGCTGACAAGGAGCTCCAAAAGGGGAGGGTCACCAAATTTATAACTCGCGTCACAGCAACGGTGGAACGTTGGTTCCAAGAAGTATATAGAGGCTGGACACCAACATCATTGGTGGGTGGCAGGGAGTGATAACAGCTGACAAGGGGCCTTAAGAGGGACGGTACCAAGGTCACAGCCATGGACTAAACCATGCGCGCAGAAGTGCTGGTCAGTCAAACTGGTAGGAGCACAAAGCCTCTAGAGGGACATGCTGTAACCGCACCAGGCATCACTATTACCAGTGCCTTTCTAACCGCTCGAATCACCTTTAAGACACATGGTACGATCACACATAGTTTGGGTGTGTGTGACTATCAGCCCCCAGCTGTCGAAGCGTAGCGGTTTCCCCGTCCTAACATGCGCAGGAATGGAGATACAGGACCGTGAAACACGCTAATTCCTCCATGCTCCGCCCAATACCTTTTGCGGCGCAGACTCCCGTTCATGCTAACAGCCGTCGTGTGCGCGCGTGTCGCGTGCGGCTCTCTTGGCACTTTGCCAAGTCCTGTAATTGCGCTTTGGAATACAAGTCGCTTTTTCCTGATGCGGATAACCGCTACGCTTCAACAGCTGGGGGGCTGATAGTCCCACACACAAAACTACTAGTGATCGCACCATGTGTCTCTAAAGGTGATTCGAGCGGTTAGAAAGGCACTGGTAATAGTGATGCCTGGTGCGGTTACAGCATGTCCCTCTAGAGGCTTTGTGCTCCTACCAGTTTGACTGACCAGCACTTCTGCGCGCATGGTTTAGTCCATGGCTGTGACCTTGGTACCGTCCCTCTTAAGGCCCCTTGTCAGCTGTTATCACTCCCTGCCACCCACCAATGATGTTGGTGTCCAGCCTCTATATAGTTCTTGAAACCAACGTTCCACCGTTGCTGTGACGCGAGTCATAAATTTGGTGACCCTCCCCTTTTGGAGCTCCTTGTCAGCCCTTGTTAGCTGTTATCACTTCCATGTTACCTACCAGTAGTGTTCCTGCCTGGCCACCTACACTCATTATCCCTGAGCCAGAGTAGGCGAAGCATTGGAGCATGGCACGGAACTGGTTACTCGTGGAATATGAGACACAACAACAACTGTGTCAAGATGAAAATATCTCTCCAGAAGCATAAACTCCTTCAGGTCAAGCTGAAGCATGCAGCCACGCCTGCCCGATTTCAGGGATTTCGGATATACCTCACCTGTCAATTTGAACTCTCTATGACTGATTAGAAGGAAGCTATGAATTTTCGGTCAAACACAC